TTGGGGAATTTATCATACAATTTTTACCGATCCAGATTATATACATGGGCAAGCATATAAACTATGACAACTTTAGTTTATGATATTCATTACTACATTCGGATAACAAGAGTATAACACCAAATAATTATTTAAGTATAATTATTAATACGCTATCAAGTATACAAACAGTTTCCAATTACGAGAAAACAATACAAAACTACACGTAAACAAGTTAATACAGGATTGTGAGCCAACTCTTCATCTGTACCCTTTGGGGTACTAGTAAATTCCTCAACATCTAGTGTAACCGGAGTCTCTTGGAGAGAGAGCGTGAGATTTGTGAATAGATCTATTTGTGACTGACAATCCCACACCTGAACTACTAGCTACAGTTAGGCGGGTATGTCTGGGATGACAAAATATCATACCGTACGACGCCTGAAGAACGTCGCTGAGGTCATTAGGCATATCAAGCATGGTTATATGAACTCACAATAGTATAAACTAACCGTTGTTTACAGGATTTCATTCTTAATTTGTTATATTTTAATTATTAGAACTAATATACATTACACCGGAGGATTCCAGGGATACAATACACGGTTTTATTTTAAATAATAAAACTACTATACATACTAGTGGTAGTCAGGGTTTTCAAGCAGAACATACTATACATACTGGTGGTAGACATGGTTTTCAAACAGAACATACTATAAATATTGGTGGTAGCCAGGGTTTCAAATAGGACATACTATACATACAAGTGTTAGTCAAGGTTTTTGAAGAAATTACAATAACGAACATACATGTTAGAAAATATTGGATTTTCTTTGGAAACATGCGTACATTTTAAAAGAATTCAATGACTGGTTTTCATTACAAAAACATTCTTATGAACTCACCAGCTTTATGCTGATACTCTTTCAAAATCGCTTGTATTCTCAGAAAACCAGTAGACAGGTACTTCCACAACAATTTGGGAATACGAAACGTATAGGGTCATGTCCTCGTATTTTGTTATACTTTTGATGCACTCAAACAATGAATCAAACGGATGTAAATTTTCATATCATAATGTAATGGTTGTGTTTACTTTGATTATTATAATGCAACTGTTGTGATACTACACATGACTTCTTCCATTCCCGAATGTTTCCGTCGTTTCGGTTTGGGGGTGTGACAATCTGTATAGTCTACACATACTCGCCACTTGCTGTTCTTCTTCTGTACGACAACTAAATTAGCTTTCCATCTTGGGAACTTCACTTCCTTGATCATCCTTATGTTGAGGAGCTTTTCAACTTCTTCTTGGATGATCTAATTCCTTTCAGGTGCAAACTTCCTTCTCTTTTGATGTATCGGTCCGAAAGAAGGATCAATATTAAGTTTATGAGTGTAATACTCTTGTCTATACCTGTCATATTTTTTTTGTTTCCCTGCGAATGTCTTGCTTTTAGTTCGGAGGAATTTTAACATGTCTTGCTCAATTTTCTTGGGTATTGAGGATCTTATGAGGACTTTGGCTTCAGGATCCTCGTTGCTCTGGAGGCACTTCCTTCATGTTTTGATCCTTCGTTTCAAGAACATGTCGTGTCCCTTCCTTAATTGCTATGCTTGTTGGGGTTTTATTGTAGGCTTCATAGAGGTTTTATAACATTCCTTTAGCTCTTGTTGATCTCCCATGATCTTCACCGCTCCCCACGGAGTAAGCATCTTTACATACTGATGATATGTTGATGGAACCGCTTTCATCTCGTGGATCCACGATCTACCTAATATCACATTATAAGAAGATAAGGTGTCAATAACACAAAACTTTGTATATAATTTACCCCATCTATGTATATTGGTAGCTTTATCTCCCCGATGGTATGTTTCGTTTCTCTGCTAAATCCTATGAGGACCGAAGATCTTTTGATTATCTTCAGTTCCGGGATGTTCATCCTCTTCAATGCATCCAAGAGTATGTTGTTGACCGAGGATCCTCCGTCAACAAGGATCCTTCTGACGAAGTGGTTAGCAATGTACAGTGTTATCACGAGTTCGTTATATTGAGGATCCTAGATCTCTTCCCTGTCCGTCTTGTCAAACGTGATTTCCTTTTCATTGCTAACCAAGGTATTCTTTTGTGATCTGTCCTCCTTTTATGTTTTACAGACCTTGGCGTGTCTTTTAGCCTGAGAATAAGAAGTACCACAAATGTTAGATCTGCCTTAGATAACATTAATTATCTTGGCGTTTGGAGGTGCAGATCCTGGTTTCCCCGAGATCTTGTGACCATCTTGGTTGTTCTCTTTGGACTTTTCTTTCTTTCTTCTGAGCATCTCTTTAAGATGCCCTTTGCTAAGGAGGTACCTGATCTCCTTTCTTAGGGCTATGCAATCTTCCGTCATGTGAGTGAAATCTTCGTGATAAGCACACCATTTGGACTTGTCTTTCCAACTTGTGGACTTGTTATCCTTCATTGGCCACCTGGCTTTGTATTCGAGATCCTACATAGCATAGATTAAACCTAAAACATCTATAGAAAAACAATAGTCAGTGATCTTAGGAGGTTCCTCTTCCTCTCCTTCATTTTTTAGGGCATTAACCTTGTGATGATCTGGTTTGGAATAAGGCTTCAATTTGTAGGATCTTGGAGCCGAGATTCGCCTTCCTATTGGGATTCTCGTATTGAATTGAAGGGTTTCCCCTCTTCTGGAATTCTTTATCCTCTTTAAACCTTATGAACCTCAATGCTCAGCACCTAACTTCATCCAATCTCTTGCATGGAGTCATCACAAGATCTTCATAAAAGGGTGAATCCTTCTTTAGACCCATCTTGAAGGCCTCCATAACAGTTGCTATGTCAATGTGGTGGATGCTCAGAGCTTCCCTGCCAAACTTATTAACAAAATCCCTAAGTGGTTCCTTAGGATCCTGAACCACCCGATAGAAATTACTAGTGATCTTCTTGAAGATTCTGCTACAAGAAAACTGGTTATTGAAATTATTGAGTAAATGTACAAAAATGAAGTAATAGAATATGGAGGAACATTTACCAACCATTTAGGAGTTGATCCCATGAGAGTTGAACCAAAGCCTTTGCATAGGAGCTCCTTCAAGTGCACTGGGATGGAAATGATCTCCATCCTTTCTCGATATTGTGATATGTGCTCTTCAAGATTCGTAGTTCCATCGTCAAGCTTCATGCTAGGAGTTTGGAAGCGCTTAGGAGCTTCAGTACGACTATCGTAGGAGCAAATCTCGAGATTATGTGACTTGTTGGAGATACGTCTGGTATGGGTTGCACTACGCCAGGTACGCTTGAGATCATCTATCTCAACTGCTGAAGTTCCCTAGCCATGTTTGGACTTATTCCTGCATCAACATTCATAGAGTTAGTATTGATAGTATTGTTGCTTAAGAAGTTACTGGAATCAATGTTTCTAGGAGTATTGAAAGGCTCATCGAGAACACAGAGAATATTTCAGTAAGAACAAATGAAAAAGTTCGTAGAGTAAGCTAAGAGTAGGTAGAGTGTGTCGTGTGCGAGATACATGTGTCAATTTATAGTCTAAACAAGCTAACAAGATGTCCGATATTCCCGGGATTCTCTATGACCAGCTTTGTGAACGTTGTTTGACTTGATATTCCGGATCTTTAGCATAGTTGAGGCGACTCTCTATTGAGAATAAGTCTTCTCTTGACTATTTCTGCACATGAGTTAATTAACAACGAAATATAACTGTTATAACTTTAGTAAATAATAATAACGATAATAGTCGGGATCCTGAGATAGTTGAAGATCCTAGATATCCGATGAGGTTTGAGGATCGTGAATGCTTTGAGGATCCTGACCCTAACAGTGACACATATCAATATTTAATTAAGTAGTTTTTAATCATCAACGCAAAGAGCTCAAGAATTTTTCATAATAATAGAGAGCTTTTTTGTTAACTTATTTATTATTTATGTCGCATACAAATTTTATTTATTTGATATTATTAACTTCTATTATAATTTGGGTATTTAACAATTGCTTGTAAATCTGTCAAACCCACAAAAATGACTGAAACTTCAACCAAGAGCTCGTAAGTTTACAAGTTTGATTGTTAAAACTGTAAATATAAAAAATAATAAAATCTAAAGGGTTTTTATTATTATTACTAAATAAAAATATATTTAAGAAAATTTACACTATAAATGCTCTCATGAGAAATCGATGTTTAGAAATCGTGGGACGGAGAATACTTTTTTTGATTGAGAAGTCTGTGACAATTTAAAACAAACCAACCAATTAATTAAATTATTTGTTTTTTATAGGTACAATGCAATCATTAATTATGTTCTTCAATACTAAAATTATTATGACACAAATTTCGTAGTACAAAAATGAAAAGGAAATTTTTTAAAATTAATTCATCTTCAAAATTAAAGGACAAAGAAAAGGTGGGTAGATCTTGATTTTAGAAAGGACATAACATGTACCTGTATTATAATGTTTTGTCTGTACAAAATATTCTCACACCACACAAGTACTTACGACGTCGTATTCATCAAATTCAGATCAAGTATACGATCATGATTCCTTAAATATATTCTTGAACTTTTCATGACATCAACAATAAGATATTAGAAACGACAATACGATTCAACGTTGTCTCCTTTAAATAAATATATATAGGGAATTTTACTTGTTAAGGTAACTAAGTATTTGGTACGTTCATATATGGGTAATATTGTTTTTTTGTACTCATTTACCCACCTAATTTTTTTTAGTTGTTCACAAATAACCAACATTATCGGTCATTACCTGTTTTAGCCGGTAACATTAATTTATCTCGGTTCAAAACATTACGTGGAATCTTACGTGGCCATTACACCCATTTCTCATTTAATTAGGGTTCATCATCGTTAGCTTGGGACAAGCTCCAAAAACACACCCTGATTACCTTTTTCTGTGAGAAATCAATCGATACAACAAATCGACAATTAGGGTTTGGAATTGAAGGTACGAGTTGAAGTTGATTGCTAGCATGACATCCTCATCTACCGGTATGTATGTATCTGTATATTTTCATTACAGTGGATTCTTTTCGCCAAACTCATTGGTGTACTTAGACCCCGTAAAAACAAGTGTACGGGATATGAATTTTGGGGGATTTACGTATAAAGAGTTTCTTTTGTGGCTTACGAAATTAACCAAAGGAGCCTGTGATAATGTTTACTACTATATTAAAAAGGAAAGCTTGTGTGAGGGTATTAGAAGAATTGACAGTGATGCTGATTATTGGGAGTTTGTGGAAACTGTTTATAGTCTTGAGAGTGAGTTAGATGTGTACATTGACCACCAAAATGAATCAATTCTTGATTGGGCTGGTAACAAGTTGTTAGCAGATGGTAAAGGGTATGAATCGGATTAGTTGGATGAAGAGGATGACATTGATTTTGAACTTTCAGAGACAATGGAATATGAACATGAATTTGATGAAAAAGTCCATACTTTTGATAAAACTGTTGGAGACCTATTCTTGGACAAACTTTCAGGGCATATAAGTGATGACGATGAAAACTGACATGTGGCCTCATGGAGACTACACAAGCCATTGCACCCCAAAGGAGAAGGCTACCAGGAAGACCATCAACAAAATAAAAAAGGGATCAAATTGGGAGGGAAAACCAAGAAAAAAAAGCATCCAGTCACAAAAAGAGATAGTGTGATTAAATGCATCATATGTAGGGAAAGTGGGCATTATAGAACAACATTTCCTCAAAAACCAATTGAGGAATCATCAAATGCAAGTTCAAAGAAAAAGAAACCCAACACAACTGGTATATTTGATATATATATATATATATATATATATATATATATATATATATATATATATATATATATATATATAGTATAACTTAGCATATTTGGCATAACTTAACATTTCAAGTAATGCGAAATAGGTAAAGTGGAGGTTACATTGACACATGAAGTTGATATAGAAAGTAACAGTGAAGTTGAAATGGAACCTAAAAGTGAAGTGGAGTCTTTTGATGTTAAATTTGAAGATGATGTGGAAGCTAAAGTGCAACCTGAAGTTCAAGATGAAGTGCAATCTGAAGTTCAAGATGAAGTGAAAGCTGAAATACAACCTAAAGTTCAAACTCAATTTCACACTGAAGTTCATCCTAAAGTGCAAGTTGAAGTTCACCCTGAAGTTTAAGATCAGGTTCAACTTGAAGTGCAAGTTCAAGTTGAAGATGATAACCAAATTGCAGTTCAAGATCAAGTGGAAGTACTAGGTTTTCAAGTTGTAGTGGGACAGAAGGCAAGGAAACCTTCAGAAAGAATTACAAAACATAAGATAAGAAAGAAGTGGGAGGGAAAACAAGGAAGCATTGATGACAATCCGTATGATTTGGAATAGATTTTGGCTTCTTGGATTGTTGTTAATGTTTTGGCATCTTTGACTGACATCTTTTAACTTCGGAATCTTTTGGCACATCGTTTGAAATCTAGTTAGAATAGCTTAAGTGTATGTTTAAGTGTGTAGTGTTTAACTTTTTTCACATCTTTTGTGTGTAATGAATGTTTTACTGTCTTATGTAAAACTTTTGACACATCTTTTGAAATCAATGTTCCCTATAATGCTTATAATTTATTATCATCTTTTGCACATCTTTTCAATACTATTTGTATTGTTTATAATTTATTACCATCTTTTAGAATACCAAGTGTAATCATAATTCCATTACAATGTTTCACAATTCCATTACAATGATTCACAAGACCCTTACATTGTTTGTACAATTCCATTCCAATGATTCACAATTCCATTACAATGTTTGTACATTTCCATTCCAATGATTCAATTCCATTACAATGTTTATTTCCATCTTCTATAATACCAAGCGTAATAACAGTTCCATACAATGTACAATTCCATTTCAATATTACATGTTTATTACCATCTTCTATAATACCAAGTGTAATAACAATTCCATTACAATGTACAATTCCATTCCAATGATCTAATGTAACCTTTTTCATTCAAAACAACATAAAAGCATGCATAATTTAGTCATACGACATCATAATAAACTACATAATTTAAAACAACATTTTAACATACAAGAGAAACAGCACAACCAATGGAAGTCTATGAGTAAACAATTTCCAATTGACTTTGCCTAGTTCTTGTTTATTGTTGTTCTTCTCTTGTTCAATCTTCATCCTGCATATGCTGATTTCATTCTTCAAGGTACAAATTTTCAAAGTAAGATTGCAGCTTTCTTCTGGTTTCATCATTTAATGCCTTCTCCCATCTTTCTTCCCTTCATCTGCATCCAACCATTGCAAAAATTTACAGCTTGGACTTTTTCCATTCTTCAAGAAATTTATAAAAACATGTTATTGAAGGATGAAGAAGAAGTAAAAAACAATGATTTACCAGTGAGTTTTGACAAACTCTGAATTTCCTTCCAGGATTGTTTAGGGTTCTTGATGTCTTCACACGAGATGGCAAGTCGCAATCACATGGATGATCTAGTTGTAATGTGTCTCGTCCTTTGGAAGAAAAAGATGAGGAAGAAGATGCCATCGATCGATCTAGGGTTGTAATTAATAAGCAGTCATATCTCACCCTTCTTATAATGTAAACACTTCTCAATGCCACGTATGTGATGAGTATTGTAACGTAGAAGCCATATAGATGCCACATCACCTAAAACAGGTAATAGTCGGTAATGTTGGTTATTTGTGAATGACTGAAACAAGTTAGTTGGGTAAATGAGTACAAAAAAACAATATTACCCATATGTGAACATACGAAATACTTAGTTACCTTAATAAGTCAAATTCCCGGATATGTATTATTATTAACAAGGAATCAAAAAATCAATCATGAACATCGAAAATTATAATGATCAACGACCAAGTGAATAATATACACTTGTATATTGGACGTACACACACCAGATTATACCATAAAACTCAACTGTTTAGTAAAAAATATGTCTATTTTTTTTGTTTAAATTTTTTTAAATCATTTTTTATTGAAAAAAAAAACCTGAATATACCGTTATTCACAATTTTTCGTCCTCTTTCCATGGAGATACATGTTGATATATAACAAAAAAAAATATCTCGGAAAAAAACTTACTTCGTTTTATTGTTTTTTTTTTCAATATTTAAGTTTATTTTTATCCCAAAAAAATAATACCAAAAATCCTAAATTTTTTGTCCTCTTTTAGTAAACATCAACATCGATTAAAGAAAACCCAATCAGTTCAGATTCACACTGTAAATCTAAACTGTAAATATTTTAGTTTTAACATTCATAATGTAAATCTAACTTTTTATTTCAACTCTTTGATCATTCACAAATTAAATGAAATTTACATATGAATCAAAATATATTTTCATGTAGTTTTATAATATTTTCACTCTTTGATTACTCTTACATTAGTTTTATAAAATCAACAAATTGATTTATTCACATTATGAATTTGAACTGTATATAATTTAGTTTTCAAAATTCACAATGTAAATTTAACTTACTATTATTCACAATGTGAATCTGAACTGAAAATTCATTTTTTTAAAATATCAATATGAATCTATGTTTAAAGAATACCAAAAAATATATAAATTTTGATCTATTTATTAATTGTTTTTGATAAAAAAAATATACCTTAACTTTTCCAAAAAAACAAAGAAAATGAAGTGAGATTTTTTGAAAAAAATGTTCATTTTTTATATATAAGTATGGATCTGTATGGAAAGATGATGAGAAATCATGAAAAACTATATATATATATATATATATATATATATATATATATATATATATATATATATATATATATATATATATATATTCAATAGAAAACATGGCCTAAAAAACTAAACTAACAAAAAGGAAGTGAGTTTTATTATAATCTGGTGCATGTGTGTCAATTGTAAAAGTCTACAATTCTTTCTTTTGCCATTGATCGCTTTACATTACGACACTTTGGATTGGTTCTTAGGTTCTTTGAATAGTAATGGTTATATATGTATGTGTGTGTGTGTGTGTGTATATATATATATATATAGACACACACACACACTAGAATACCCGCACAATCATTGACAGAGCTTATATAGGGCCAGGGGGTTGTGCCCGCCCCCAATTTTTTTTAATATTTAGTCCATAACTATTAAACAGTTACATATTATGCCCAAAACTGTAAAATTTGACTCTGACCCCCCTGCTCTTTAATTTTTATACATATTCTATATTTTATTTTCACCCCCCTAAGGGAGACAAGACCAATTTTCCCCTCCCATGGTTCAAAACCCTAAATATCGACCAAAAGTCAAAAGTCAGCAAAAGTCAATTACCCAACACGTAAGTTAAACGTACTCTCTTCCTACGCGGGGTGTACTTGGAAATCAAGCGGGATCGGGGTTTCACCTGGCTACATTAGGCATAGCTAGTAGTACGCGTGGCGTACACCAAAACAATCCAAAAATGGTCTTAATCATTAAGACATGCATCCAAGCACATATCTGACCTTCTTGGAACGTTTTAATCCATAAAGTCTAAAACTTTAAGCCTTTGCATGGCTGAAAAGGGCTTGAACCTTAAAATTCTAACTTAATCCACACTCATCACCACCAAACTCTTGCATAACTAGAAAGGGACCATCAAACAACCATTTTTATGAATCTACAAGACCTCACACGCATGAAGGATAACTAATACGCCTTGGAGTGCCACGTACTCATAAATGTCCAAACTTTGGGACAAAAAGATCATAAAACTCAACTATGGAGATCAAAAAGGAAACACATCAAGGTATAGACTTTATACCTTAAAAAGATGCACAAGGAGGAGTAGTTTCTAGATCTACAAGCTTGCAAGCAGCACCTCCTTCTTCAATAGCCTTCTTTCTTCAATAAATAAGAACCAGAAATCACTAATAAGCTCCAAACTCTCACAAACAAGGCTTAGACTCGAGATTAAGGTTTTTGAGGGAAGGTGACTGATAAGGAATGTCCAAGGGAGTCATAAGGTGGATTAAATAGGAGAGAAAACCATGAAAATTAGGGTTTTGAGGCTAAACTATGTTGGATTGGTGTCTAAGTCCATAACTATTTTGGTATGTACTTGACCCGATTATGAGCATGGTCCTTTTGGGTTGCCTTCACCATAGCAACTTGTAGGATGAATTATGGAAAGAGAAAAGTTTAATTACGATTTATTAATATATTATAAGAATAATATATTAAAGGAGAAATGATATTGTTTAGTTAATATTAGTCAAGAATTAATTAAGAATTAATTTTGTGGCTAAAAGAAATTAATTAAACTTAGGGGACTGGATTTGTAGTTATAAGATAATTGCAATTGGGCAATGGATCACCTAATAATATAGGTTGGACTAATTCTATGGGAAGCCCATAAGGAATTCGTCCAAGGGATATAATTAAAGGAGTCCATGGACTGCTTAGGGCCTAAGCAGTCAAATTAGGGTTTCCTAAGTTCAAAACCCTAATAGGCTACATATATAAAGACCCCTAAAGCCCAAAAAACGTGTGGAAGGAATCCTTTAGGGTTTCTAGTCATTTTTGGTGCCTCCTTTCTCCTTCTTCTTCATCTAGTTGCTTAGTGGTGTTTGTGACTCCATTAGAGGTGCAACACTTGAGGTACTAAGCTTTCTGAAGCCAAGAATTAGATTGTTATTGCTATATAACAATCAAAGGTTAGATCTAAACCCTATTTTATGTTAATATGATTAATTGTATGCTATATCTAGGGTTTATAGCTTTGGATATTCAATTGCATTTTCATTAGACAAACTATATCCAAAAACTATTATGGTTTGCATGTACAACATAGGAATGATGTATTGCTTGAAAACCCATTAGTGGTATCAGAGATTAGGATGGCTTATTCTAATGTATTTAATGCAAAGTTTTTTTGTTCATAGCTAAAAAAATTCGGTTTTTCAAATTTAACCAGTTTCACATCGTGAACATGCTGTTCATGTCGTGAACATGCTTCGTTTTTTTGAATTTACCATAAATTGCTTTATTCAAATAAAAATAAGATTTTTTTTGTTATGGTAATTGATATCCTACTCAAATTAATGGATAATTGTCAAAATTTAGATAATTATTTGTTTTTATTAGATAATGATTGATTATTTATAACTTTGATTTGAATTATTTTGTGAA